GTATGGAACACAATGATGACAATACAAATATTATATCAAAATAATTATCCACTTCGCATATATATAAAAAGAAGTAGCATTGGTGGAATACACAAATCGAATATTGTAATTAATCACAGCTCTAAACTACTTTTGATATCTAGAAATTGTCATGGGTCGGTCGCAGGGATTGTATACCTCCTTTCAGAAGCATCTCTGGTGTTGAAATCGCCCAAAACATCATCACATTCCGAAATCCGTGCCTCACTCCACATTAAATCTAATTTACAATTGGAAATATTTAGGAGTGATTATCCAGAATAGAATGAAAATTGATGAAATAAGACTATTAGCCAACAAGAGTATCGCATGTCTGTGTGAATGTATTACTTGTGTGTACATGTATGTGTTTTCTATGTTATATGTATTATTAAATGTATACGACTATGTCTAAACATATATGTACTATACATGTTGTCCTAAATGAACGTTTTGATGCAATTAACATCTTATCTTATCTAGCACAAACATCTTGTAAGTATAAGCCAGTCTTGATAGCACTATACGGAAAATAACCTTCCAATTTCTACTTTTTTTCCCATAAATATCCATGTAAAGGAGAACACATAAATGTTTTGAATCATATATGGACTAATTCATAATTTAATTGTCTGCATTTTTTTTAAAACCAGAGAGTTATCTAGTTCTATGCTTCCATTCTCAATATTTAGAATAAATGGAAAAAACTTAACAGTTTTTTCATTTCATTTCCTAGGAATGAGTGATTCGTCGCATAGTTTTTCCGCTTCTCTTTAGGGCAAGCAGAGAACAGAAATTTGATGGATTGATTGGTTAATTGGTCATAATGTGGCCCAAAATATGACCTTTGTCACCAGTCTTACGCCAAGTTTGTTCAACTTTTGTCGCTCTTAAGTGATATTGTTGGCTTCCTGACTTCGTTAGCTAGCTTTTAAGCTTTGTTTCAGCTATGGACTCTAAATTTTAATTATGGTCACAAATTAGTGCTAATTAATTAGCTCTTAAGTAGCATTAGTACAGCATTTCATGCTCTTAAGCAGTCATTTTGTGCAGTGAAACTCATAGAAAGAAAGATTGGTTGCCAGGCAACAAAACATACGCCCACAGCAGCTAAATCGTCCGAGCGGTCAACAAGGGTTGTCACATATTTATTTCTTTGTAGGTAATAATCAGATCAGATTATAAATTTTGTCATTTGAGGGTTTACAAGGTTCTACAAACTGAAACAAGGGTCTCAACTCTGAAAGTAATCTACGGAATTTGTTGAAATTTGACTGGCTTTTTCGTTTTACCAATTTAAATAATGCATATAACTTTCATACAGATCACATGATCACTTTTGTCATTCAAACGTTCACAATCGCCATAACTCTAGAAATTATTGATGGAAATTGCTGAAATTCAATAGACCTGTTTCACAAATTTAAATGATGCATAAAAATTTCATACATATCGGATGATAACTTTCATCAATCAAGCATTAACTAGGTTTAACAAAGTGAAACAAGGGCAATAACTCTAGAAGTAATTATTGTAAATTGCTGAAATTCAATAGGCTTTTTAGTTTCACTAATTTAAATCATGCATATAAATTTCACAAAGATCGGTTCATAACTTTTGGCGTTCACAAGGATCAATAAAGTGAAACAAGGGCCATAACTCTAGACGTAATAAACAGAAATTGCTGAAATTCAATAGGCTTCTTCGTTTCACTACTCTTAATAATGCATATAAATTTCACAAAGATTGGGTGATAACTTTTGGTGTTGGAGCATTCACAAGGTTCAATAAAGTGAAACAAGGGCCATAACTCTAGACGTAATAAACGGAAATTGCTGAAATTCAATAGGTTTCTTCGTCTCACTAATTTAAATAATGCATATAATTTTCAAAGAGATCGAATGATAACTTTTGACGTTAGAGCGTTCACAAGGATCAATAAAGTGAAACAAGGGCCATAACTCTAGACGCTGAGATTTAATAGGCTTCTTCGTTTCAGTAATCTAAATAATGCATATAAATTTCAGAAAGATCGGATGATAACTTTTGATGTTAGAGCGTTCACAAGGATTAATAAAGTGAAACAAGGGGCATAACTCTAGACGTAATAAACGGAAATTGCTGAAATTCAATAGGCTTCTTCGTTTCAGTAATCTAAATAATGCATATAAGTTTCAGAAAGATCGGATGATAACTTTTGGCGTTAGAGTGTTCACAAGGTTCAATAAAGTGAAACAAGGGCCATAACTCTAGACGTAATAAACGGAAATTGCTGAAATTCAATAGGCTTCTTCGTTTCACTAATTTAAATCATGCATATAAATTTCACAAAGATTGGGTGCTAACTTATGGCGTTAACCGTGTTCACAAGGTGCAGTCAAGTGAAACAAGGGCCATAACTCTAGATGTAGTAAACAGAAATTGCTGAAATTCAATAGGCTTCTTCGTTTCACTAATTTAAATATTGCAAATGAATTTCATAAAGATCGGATGATGACTTTTGGAGTTAGAGCGTTTACAAAGTTCAATAAAGTGAAACATGGGCCATAACTCTAGACATAATAAACAGAAATTGTTGAAATTCAATAGGCTTCTTCGTTTCACTAATTTAAATATTGCATATAAATTTCACAAAGACCGTATGTTAACTTTTGGCATTAGAGCGTTCACAAGGTTCAACAAAGTGAAACAGGGGCCATAACTCTAGACTTAATAAACGGAAATTATTGAAATTAAATAGGCTTCTTCATCTCACTAATGTAAACAACATATATCAATTTTAAAACAATTGGATGATAACTTTTGGTGTTAGAGCGTTCAGAAGAAATTGTGGACGATGGACCTATGGATCGATGGACGGACGGGGGCGACGGCAATATACGTCCACATTTCAATGTGGGTGTATAAAAATAATCCTGGACATGACAATTTAATCAAATCCACTCAAACGTCATTATGTGACCTAAAATTTGACCTTTGGCCCTTGTCACCTTTTGGTTTCCTGATTTGGTTAGCTAGCTTTTAGGCTTTGTTTCAGTTATGGTCAGTCATTAGTGACCTTTGACCTTTGTCACCTTTGAACGAGTCTTATGTAAGGTTTGTTCAATTTTTGTCACTCTTAAGTGATATTTTTGGTTTCATGACTTGGTTAGCTAGCTTTTAGGCTTTGTTTCAGTTAATGACTTTTAAATACGGTCACTAATTAGTGCTAATTAATTAAGCTCTTAAGTAGCATTAGCACAACATTGTATGCTCGTAAGTCATGCATTCTGTTTCTTAGTGTTAAGTGTGAAACGCTTGCAAAAAAATTGTAGATGGACATTGAATTTTAACTCCCATTAAATATGGGAGGTATATGCACAGGTTACAAAGCTTAAGACTTGGCTTTCCAAAATGATCTAGAGGTAAAATATGTGTTGTAGACTTAAAACCTTTTGGACTCAATATTTTGATTAAATCTCATTGGGCTCCCGGACTAATTCACCATTCATTCATCATTCTGCATTAGATTTTATTTCAACTCACCAACGTGTAAACGTGTAATTTCTGTAGAATGTGTTTAATGGCTTGTACTCGTAACGAATAACGAAAATAACAAACACTTATTAAAACAAAATAATGAATTTTAGAATGTTCTGAAAGTGGGACCCCCATAGCTTTGCAGCTATACTTATATTATTTGATAATTAAAGATACATTATGGGAGATTCGGTAACGAGTTGGCAGTTCTCACTATAATAGTTAACCAGCGGCTGCCAGGCAGGATACGCCCACATTTTCGAGAGATGGATAGAAAACAAGCTAAAACGAAAGTGATTTTTCCTACAATCAAGGGCCATAATTCAGGAAATTACAATTCGATATGCGCAAATATCGAAAGGAATCAAGATCTTTGTGTTATAAACTTACATTTCAAGTTTCAACAAAATCGGATAAAAATTCTGACCTCTATAGGGTCCACAACCTTGATATACCATATTTTTACGCTATTTGAGATTGAACGGCGGCCATTTTGTCTGTCAGTTTTGGGCCAATTTTCACGAAATTCAAATTCAACTGTCCTTAGGGTTTAACGGTGATATAATAATACGTTTTTTTAAATCGGATAAAAATTATGACCTCTATAGGGTCCACAAGCCAAAAAACGCGTTTTTACGTACAATCAGGGGCCATAATTCAGGAAGTTACGGTCCGATATGCGCGAATATCGAAAGGAACCGAGATCTTTGGGTTATAAACTTACATTTCAAGTTTTAACAAAATCGGATAAAAATTGTGACCTCTACAGTGTTCACAAGCCAAAAACATGATTTTTCATACAATCAGGGGCCATAATCCATGAAGTTACGGTCCGATATTTGCCAATATCGAAAGGAACCGAGATCTTAGGGTGATAAACCTATATTTCAAGTTTCATTGAAATCGGATAAAAATTGTGACCTGTAGACTGTTCACAAACAATTGTGGACGGACGGACGGACAGGGGCGACGACAATATACGTCCACATGAAAATGTGGGCGTATAAAAACTAGATAATGTAAAGGCAATTTGGTGAAAATTTCATTCAAATTGATCCACTATGAACCGAGAACTAAGCGACTGAAATTCCCATAAGCCTCAGTCATCATTACTAAAGTCAGTACGATAAACAGCATAGTCTCGATTATCCATTTAATCGTTTAATAGAGAAGGAAAGTTATGCAGTAAATCGGCTTACAATCCACTAAAGATCGCAGGCTAGCGCTGCCATCTAGAGTTGATTATGGCCTGGATAGGTCAATTAATGTCTAATTAATAATTTAGATAACATTTCAGGCCTAAAGAAAGACCTGAAATAGGCAGATTTAGCTCTTGCATAATGCATGTTTAAAGTGAAATAGTCAATTACACATAATTTATTGAGTGTACACCCTTATTCTTTGATAATTCATAAGCTTAGTAATTAGTATTATTATAAAACATATATATAAAATATACTTACACAAAAGATTCAAATTTTGTGGATACTTTTCCGAGTATTCTACAGCAAGCTAACCTGGCTTGTACTGACTGTGAAAGCTGTCCTTTAGCAATGGCTATACCAAGAATCTATTGAATGAAATCAAAATTAACCAACACTCATAGTGCAGCAAAATTAAAAGAAATTACATGCATTTTTTATGATCAATAAGTCAGTAAGGCTTAGAGGCCGGAGGCTCAGTGCGCAAGGGTGTCCATCAAATGGGCACAAAACCAGACCCAAAATTTCTATAGTAAAATTTTGCGTAGAATACAATGCCGAGTGGTAATCAGTCTGTCATTGGGGCGTTTTTAAGATATTCAGTCAAATGAGATCATTTACACTGAAAGTGAGTGTGCAGCCATTCTTGTATCATGAAAATATGCTTAAATGATCAAAAGTACTCACGCTTTCAATAAATATGTAAACTTGCTAAATTCACCGTTAGTCTTAGTGACCCTAGAGGTCAAAACGTGAAATTTTCCGTTTTTGCACTAGGAAGATTTAAAGCAATCAAATGTCAGCTTAAAATATAACCAGCAGCTGCCAGGCAGGATACACCCACATTTTACAAGAGATTGATAGAGAACAAGCTAAAAACAAATGCGATTTTTTGTACAATCGGGGGCAATAATCCAGAAAGTTATGGCCTTTAATGTGCAAATACAGGGCTAGAAATTCACGCGAATCTCTGAATCTAATCTGCGCAAAGATTCTCGCAAGAGCTTACGCTACGAATCGACAAGGATTCGCGCAAAAGTTTTCTAAAAAAAAAAAAATCTCTAGAATTGTCAAGTGTGACTATTGAATGTCAGTCAGGGTCAGCGTTCATCATGGGGCTGTATTTTGTCGGCTTTAGCCGCTTGATGTTTATTCAAGCTGATTGGTAAAACAATGAATCGGCAACTATGGTATCGTAAATAATCCATCTTCTTTTAGCTAAATTACAACGGGTTAATTATTACTTGTTAATTAAGAAAACAATCAACTTGCTTGTCGGCTACAACAACATAGTCATACCTTAGTGAGAATTGGCCATATGTGGTTCATAATCCAAGTAATTAGCACATTTAACGGTGATTTTGATAATCCAGTAAAATAAACAAAATGAAATGAAATGGGGTTTAACGTCCTACTGTTCTGCTCCGATGCTGGGCTAACAATGACGTGCATACGCCATACAGTGTGCTATGAGGGAAATTTTGCCCAGGCAGCGGCACTATCGCCTACTCTTATATCGAATTCCAACTGCCAAGGGATCTTTTACGTGCATTCTAATGTATACACAGGACCTCGGTTTTCCGTCTCATCCGAAGGACTAGACAGCTGTCCTTGTCAGGCCCTCCGTCCTGCATCACTGACAAGGGGGAACCACGCCAGAAAATCTGGATGAACTTTCTCGGCCAATGCAGGGATCGAACACCCGACCTCCATTTAGCCACGTGATCCCCTAAAATAAACCAAAAAAGTGCTTGCTGGTTATTCATAATAGGGTCAGTAAAATAAGCCACGTGGCTATGGTTTCCGAATTGCGCGTCTTCCATGCTCCGTCCGTGTGAATTCCAGGTACCGGTAGATATTCAAATAATAACTGGATAATACATTGATGGATTCACTGACCAGTTGTTAGGTAAATCTAAATCTTCATGGAATATAATCCCCTGATAGAACATCGGATACACGGAAAGAGAAACAGTGGATATTTTCCCAACAGTCCATTGCCGAATACCAATGACATGTGACATATCGGTTGGAATTATGTCAATAAACCAGTTTACCGTAATGATTTTTTATTTTATACACTACTGCTAGAAACTTAATTTTAAAAAATATTATTGACGGCTATATCATAGTCGTACAGAATTTTATTTTATAGCAATTTCAGTTATGGTTGTCACGTAATCATTGTGCCGTTTGTCTATCATCGACATACAAATAAAAACTTTTGCAAGTCACGTGACAGTTACGTGATGGACAAAGGACTACAAATTGTGTTATGAAGCAATGGCACGGCGCCGTATCAGCTTATTTTTGCAGCATTTTACATATATAACTATTCAAAACGATATACATGATTAAATATATACAATTAAAATTGAGAATAAAAGTTTGTCTCTTTTAAAAATGTTAGCACTTTATCATATAGCTCCGGTTGGGCAAATAGCTGACGTACTGACTGGCAACGGTAGTATTTAGATCTAATATACTTGAGATGTTTGCACTCAATCAAGATGTGTTTCACTGAACACATTCCGGTTGAGGCTCTCGCTTCAAAATGAAAATGAGTTAAAAAGGTATGACCAATGCGAGAGCGACACAAAACAACTTCATCCCTCCTGTTGGTTCTATAGGAGTTGGGCCAATCTCTTAGGAGAGGCTTAATGTGATGAAGTTTGTTTGTGCCTGCAAGATCCCAAGACCGTTGCCACCGGCCATATATAAAAGAATTAATGGGGGATTTAAAATCGGTGAATAATAAAAGGAATTTTGATATGGGAAGATCTAAAGCAGACTTGGCAGCTAAGTCTGCCTGATCATTCCCTTTAATATCAACGTGACTGGGGAGTCAGCAAAGTACTGTATCCTTGCCGATAAACTCGTGTGATAGTAGCAGATGATAAATGTCTGCTACTATTTAATGGGTGTACAAGCTGTTTATTGTTTATTGCTTGTAAAGAGGACAGAGAATCAGTAAATATAACGTGTTTTAAAGTAGAAGATGATTGAATGAACTCCAAAGCCTGAAAGATGGCCTGGAGTTCAGCAGTAATTATGGAAGAAGCAGGAGGAAGTCTGACAGAAATGATTCCAGGTAGATCGGAGCAAAATCACCATATTTAGACCTCAGCTTTCGAAAGAGGGACTGAAACACCGTGGAACTAGTATCTTTCTTTTTCGTTAGATCTAAATCGATCTTTGGAGGCGATATAGTCCAGGGTGGAGTACTAAACAAAGGGGTACTCGCAATACTGTCATGACTGATGCCAGCCTCTGACAAAAGGCAAATGATGGAATAACATTAGTTCTCAGTAAATACAGATGTTCATGATAGGGTCTAAATATGGTGTTAAATGAAATATGATGAGCCAGAGATGCAATTTTTGTAGCATACTGCAGTGCAAGTTTATCATGTCTGGCATATATGAGAATCCTCTTAGATTCTCGCAAAAAATGATGAATTTCTAGCCCTGAAATATCAAAAGGGACTGAGATCTTTGGGATATAAAGTTATGTTTTAAGTTTCATCAAAATCGGATAAAAATTGTGACCTCCAGAGGATCCACAACCTTCGTATAACACACTTCTACACAATTTGAGTACAAAAAACGGCCATTTTGTCGGGAAGTTTCATTTCGATTTTCCAGAAATTCGAATTCAACCTTCATTATGGTGGAATGGTGATGTATATAAACGGTTTTTAAAACCGGAAAAAAATTGTGACCTCTAGAGAATCCGCAAGATAAAAATCCGATTTTTGGAACAATCGGGGGCCATAATCCAGGAGGTTATGATCAGATATGCGCTAATATCGAAAGGAACCAAGATATTTGGGTTATAAAACATGCATTTCAAGTTTCATCAAAATCAGTAAAAAATTGTGACCTCCAGAGGGTCCACAACCCTGATACACAATATTTTGACACTATTTGCGAACGAGGGGCAGCCATTTTGTCTGTCAGTTTCGGTTCGATTTTTATGAAATTCTAACTCAACCATCCCTAGTGTGTAACGGTGATATATTCAACCGTTTTTTTAAATCGGATAAAAATTGTGACCTCTATAGGGTCCACAAGCTAAAAACACGATTTTTCGTACAATCAGGGGCCATAATTCTGGAGGTTATGGTCCGATATGCACAAATATAGAAAGGAACTGAGATCTGTGGGTTATAAACATACATTTCAAGTTTAAACCAAATCAAATAATAATTGTGACCTCTGCAATGTTCACAAGCTAAAAACGTGCTTTTTCGTACAATCAGGGGCCATAATCCATGAAGTTACAGTCCGATACATGCCAATATCGAAAGGAACCAAGATCTTATGGTGATAAACCTAAATTTAACAAGTTTCATTGAAATCGGATAAAAATTGTGACCTGTAGAGTGTTCAGAAACAATTGTGGACGGACGGACAGGGGCGACGACATTATACGTCCACATGAAAATGTTGGCGTATAAAATAAAGTGAAACCTAATCTAATTTAAAGTAGAAATATTTAAAACTTATCTTTAGGTGATCTTAACACCGTACATTTACTTTGGAACATCGAAAAAGATTTTGCATAACAGAACCAACACACTTTGAAACCTGTTTCAAAGATAGGTTGCCAGGCAACAAAACATACGCCCACAGCAGCTAAATCGTCCGAGCAGTCGACAAGGGTGGTCGCATAATTATTCTTTTGTAGCTGATTAGGGGAATTTAATAGACAATTTCATACAGATGACATTATAATTTTCGTCGTTTGAGGGTTCACAAGGTTCTAAAAACTAAAACAAGGGCCGTAACTCTGGAAGTAATCTACAGAAATTGTTGAAATTCGACAGGCTTTTTCGTTTTACTAATTCAAATAATGCATATAAATTTCATACAGATCGGATGATAACTTTTGTCGTTCGAATGTTCACAAGGTTCAACAAAGTAAAACAAGGGCCATAACTCTAAAAGTAATTGACGGAAATTGCTGACATTCAATAGGCGTCTTCATTTTACTAATTAAAATGAAGCATATGAAGTTCATACAGATTAGGTGATAACTTTTGTTGTTAAAGCATTCTCAAGATTCAACAAGTTAAACAAGGGCCATAACTCTAGATGTAATTAACAGAAATTTGCTGAAACTCAATAGGCTTGTTCCTTTTACTAATTTAAACAATACATATAAATTTCATACAGATTGGATAATAACTTTTGTCATTCACAAGGTACAACAAAGTGAAACAAGGGCCATAACTCACAGTGTAATTAACGGAAATTGCTGAAATTTAATAGGCTTCTTCGTTGCACTAATTTGAATGCCGGATATCAATTTCAAACAGTTGTCATTAGAGCGTTCACAAGATTCAACAAAGTGAAACAAGGGCCATAACTCTAGATGTAATTAACGGAAATTGCTGAAATTCAATAGGCTTCTTTGTTTTACTAATTTAAATGATGCATATAAATTTCATACAGATCGGATAATAACTTTTGCCATTAAAGCATTCACAAGGTACAACAAAGTGAAACAAGGGCCATAACTCACGGCGTAATTAATGGAAATTGCTGGAAATCAATAGACTTCTTCCTTTCACTAATTTAAATGATGCATATCAATTTCAAACAGATCAGATGGTAACTGTTGTCATTAGAGCGTTCACAAGATTCAACAAAGTGAAACAAGGGCCATAACTCTAGATGTAATTAACGGAAATTACTGGAATTCAATAGGCTTCTTTGTTTTACTAATTTAAATGATGCATATAAATTTCATACAGATCGGATAATAACTTTTGTCGTTAGAGCGTTCACAAGGTGCAACAAAGTGAAACAAGGGCCATAACTCCAGAAGAAATTAACTGAAGTTATTGAAATTAAATAGGCTTTTTCATCTCACTAATGCAAACAATATATATCAATGTAGACTGTAGAGTGTTCACAAGAAATTGTGGACGATGGACGGACGGACGGACCGACGGACAGATGGACGGGGGCGACGGCAATATACGACCACATTTCCATGTGGGCGTATAAAAACTGTCAATTCGAAATCTCCCTGATTCAGTTTCACAACGATTGTTATACATAATGAAACTAGTTGTCCGAAAAACAGTGGAATAGTTTCAGGGTTGGACTCTAGCCTGCAAGATGCGTAGGTTTCTGGGAATCCCAATCTGGGAAAACCGACGTTAATCTGTGACCGGAAAATATGTATCTGATGACGAGATTAAAAGTTTGCAAATTTTTTATGAGTTTTCATGAATTTCACTGTAACATGAACACAGATAAAACCGATGGATGCATTAAATCTGTGACCGGAAAACATGTATCTGACGACGAGATTAAAGGTCTGCAAATTTGTTATGAGTTTTCATGAATTTCACCGGAACATGGACACAGATAAAACTGATGGATGCATTGTACATAAAGCTTACGGGATATAAATGTTGTATTGGTAAATGTTAGCGGGGAAAAGTTTAGCCGGCTTTGTGACGCAGCCTGCAGACTGGAATCCAGCCATGAAACTATTCAATTGTTTTTTCAGACAACTAGTATCATTATGTATAGCATTCATTGTAAAACTAATTTGGAGAGATTTTGATTTGACAGCTTTTATGTATTTTTGAAACAGGTTTCGAAGTATTTTGGTTCTTTTATGCAAGATCTTTTTCGACGTTCCAAAGTAAAAGTTTGGTGCTAAGACCACCTAAAGATACATTTTAAATGTTCCAACTATTAATTAGAACAGGTTTTGCTTTAGTTTTTATATTTTACGCTGACATTTATTGCGTTATATCTTCCTAGTGCTAAAATGGAAAATTTCACCTTTTGACCTCCAGGGTCACAAAGAACAAAGGTGAATTTAGCAAGTTTACATTTTTATTGAAAGGGTGACTACTTTCGATCATTTTCAGTTTATTTTCATGATACAAGAATGGCTGCACATTCAATTTCAGTGCAAATGACCTTTGACCCAGAATATCTTGAAAACGCCCAACGGCGGACTGATTACCACCCGGCATCGTATTCTATGTGAAATTTTACTATAGAAAAGTTTGGTCTGGTTTTGTGCCCATTTGATGGACATCCCTCCGCACTAAGCCTCCAGACTATTAGTCTGTCATTATGTAAAGCGACCAATTCCTTTCAAACAGAAACTGTCTGCAATACTATAATAGTATAATATTGAGAGGGAGCTTCATCTTATTCAAACCAAAATATAATTCCTCGTAATTTACCTCTTTTTTAATAACATCTTTAGGTAAAAGATCTATAACATCTAGTAATGTTTCTAACCATGCATTAGCACAATCTACAAACAAAAAAAAATTTAGTTAATGTAATTATGTAAAAGACCATCTTGAAATTGGTAACCAAACATTATCTCCTATGGACAAAATCCTCTTATGTGGGAAAAACACCCTTATGATAAGATATGTTCTCAGGCATCAAACATATACGCCCACAGCAGCTAAGCCGTCCAGGCAGTCCACAAGGGTTGTCACATTATTTATTCTTAAGCTGAGTAACTTGTGTCCCAAGTTCTGACCAATGAAATCGCTAATCTCTGTTTAGTTACCTTAAGCAGCAGAAGATGCTCATCATTGAACCCAGTCATTTCAGGACTAACACATGGTTCAATTTTATGTCAGTGATTCGCTTGTGTGTAGGAGTTTTAAGCAGTGGCAGGAAACTGGAGGACCCGGAGAAAACCCACAAGGTTGGACAGGCAATCCTCCTCCTTGTCAGGGAAACGAAACCATGCCACTTGACTCAATGACATAGCTTATGGTTTCACTCCCACGCATTAAACCACTAGACAACCCAACCCTCCCTTTCACCTAACGAACAACTACACAAAGTGTAAAAATTTGAACATTCTAACTTATAGTAAGAAGCAGAGTTATTGTGTTCCAAAAGGTGTGAAAGACAGGCAGATGGATAGTTCCCTGCTTTCTTCAAAAGACGGTAAACTATTAAAACTTACTGAGGAACTTACTGAAAGTCTGCAATTGAATATGGGTCATTCCACAAATGAGGGGTCCAAAGTGTGACATAGGTACTAAAATTTTAAGTTATCTCAATCACTTATAAAATTATACAAATAATATGAGTAATGTGTGCCATGTCGAGTTCCAAAGAAAAGAAATGAACGATTTTACATGACAGGTTACGTACAGATTTCTCGTGTAAAGGGACACCAAATTAGACTGTTAATGCTAAATTTCTGTGCATATATAAGATATACTAATGTGTTTATGATGTATTATTTTTATTGAAACGAGGCAACTTTATTAGAAGTCTAAGCAGAAATAGTGTATATTTGTGCCAACACCTCTTGCCAGTCAATGTCGATTACATCGATATTCCCAAATTCCCGATACAAACTGAACAGTTTCTGTAATAAAATAAAGATTTTGCAAAATTGATGAAGTTTGTATGACGTTAACAATCGATATGAACTACTTGTAAATCAGTTATCATGAAAAATCAACATGGAAGGTTTACTGTGATTCGGAGTACTGTAGTTTCACGTGCAAAGGGACACCAAATGTTGATGACTTGCCTACTAATAATTAAATCAAACCATATTATGTAGTATTTCTCCTTTAAAACTTGAAAAATAAATATACTTTCAAATATAAAAAAAATATTAAACTTTCAACAATCAAAATAAGTAGCAGTCTTTGAGAATTGGTTGTGTCCCTTTAAATAGCTTACGTTGTGAATTCTTTTACCCAAAACAATGAAACAAAAGACTTAGGTAACATTTCAAGATTGTTAGCTTGTTTACCGGAAAGCAAAGAAAATAATGTAGCATTGGTTACATACGCATATACTAATACAATATCTAGTTAATAATAGGGACACAAAAGTTTTGGTTTCCCATTTTCATAATAATATTCTGACACCGCGACCATTCTGTCACGTTATCCCTGAATATCAAGGAAGCGATAATTTTCATCTATGGAAGAATACTGTTATTTTGGACTCAGCAATTATAACGTTCGGCATCTATGCGTCATATGCAGGGGGTAAATTCACATCACAACGTAATTTCGATAACAACGTAAATACAGGGACGCTAAACTTTGATTCAATTTAATTTAGAAAATATCCATTCGCCAGGCCATCGGAATCTTTGTGTATGTCTGTCATGTGACCATAAACTAAACATCTCTCTCTGACGTAATTCGCCGCTAATAGAGGGCGTTACCAGCGGCATAAACAAGCACTTCGTAAATTGAACGAGGGACTCGATTTTCAATATCGACAAAGCTAATAAAATTTTCACAGACAATTTTACACAATACAACTGCTTATGTTTTCGGAATTTGTTATTTATTACGTTGTCAAAATGGAATTAAGATGAAACATTTTGGTTTGATTTTTCAAGTTAAGATCGTGGCTAACTTAAGAGTGAGTTCGCGAGAGAATCATGCAAAATTTAAAAAAAACGGCACAAGCGGTGTCCGGCGATTTTGACCAAACTTTGCAGATTTGATCATTGGGTACCCCTTATACCCCACATGAAATATGAGAGTCACCAACCTTGTAGTTACGGAGAACCAGCTATGGCCATTTTATAGTTAAAAATCGTCATTTTTTTGAGAAAAAAAATCCCAAAATTCAAATATTTCCCAAACATTGTCTATTGATTTTTTTTTTTTTTAATTATTTTTTTTTATGAATCATCATGTGTACTACTTCAATATATATGACTATTAAATTTTTCCGAAACCATTTGAGGCTATGAGGAATTTATTTTGAGACATAGTTTTTGCTATATGCTAAAACATATAAATTTCATGATGCTATATCTCACCCACTGCGGGGCAGAGGTCAATTCTATTAATAATGGAAGTTGAGGACTACTAATACTAATATTTGGTTTTGACAAAATGACTGGCATGGATTTCTTTCATATTAAATTTGATGGTCGAACTTGAAGAAAATGACTTCATTTTTGACATCATTTTTCCAATAAAATCATTCATTGCCTGGATTATTAGGCCCGATAATGCCCCATGCAACCGCCTTCCAGCAACTCTGTGTAGGGCCGGTACAGATGATTCGGGAGTTCTACAAGGATCAGTCCTTGGACCTGTCCTTTCTGTAATGTATACTAAGAATTTGGGACAACTAATCAATAATCATGGTTTCTAGGACGACATTCTTATGCAGATGATACACAGCTGATCGCAAGTTATTCCCTTTCAAAAACTGTTTCATTCCCTAATTATTCTGACATCAAATTGTGTACACATGACATTAAAGATAGGATGACAAGAAATATGTTGAAATTAAATTTAATTGAATTAAGTAAATCAGAATGTATTTTATGTGGTCAAAATAAACATCTGAAAAATACAAGTTCAAATGACGTTGTTGTTCGAGATGCAATATTTTTTACCATGAGACACTGTGAAGAGGTTAGGTGTCCTCTTGGGGTCCAATTTGAGCATGGACAGTCATACTAGTGAAATTTGTCGAAACTGTTATCTTTGGTCCGGGAACTTTATTAGCCAGGAAGCAGCTGCTACACTTATATGTTCTTTGGTATTCCCAAGGATTGACCACTGTAACAGCTTGTTATTAGAAACATCTAGTGCCAATATTAAAAAAAATCAACTTGTAGAAAATACCGCAGCTCGAATTCTTACCAGATCATCAAAACACTCTCATATTACTCCTGTTCTGAAATCAATCTATTGGCTGCCAATCATCTTCAAAAGTCTGTCTTTGACGTATCAGTATGTGAATCATTCACAGTGAATGGCTTAGCTCAAATATAATTATCTAACTTTATGCACATACAAGTTCCCCCGAGTAACCTCCGGCCGAACACACATTCATCAGTTTTGTTGCTCAAGGTGAAAATTAATATCATTTGGATACGGATCGTGCTCAGTGAAAGCGCCTAAACTGCGTAACAATCTTCCAGAGATCATTAAATCATCTCAAACCCTTTCTTGTTTTACAGCAAGACTTATCAAGATTAATTAAATTAATTTAATTGTATGCGCAGTGGACATGCTTCTGTACATGGAGTACTTGCGCTATATAAATGTACATATTAATATTATTATTATTATCATTCATCAGGCCGAAGTTAGATTTGCACTCCAGCATCCAAGATGGTGGATGAAATCAGCTGTTCATTTTCCCGTCTTTTGCACAAATAAAATGCGGTTTAGTAGCCAGTTATCCGAAAGAAACTATAATAGCATATTCCTGAAGCAATAGCCAGAGAAATGCCGCTCTGGCCATTGCTGGATTGACTTCTGATACTTACGTTTTTGGGGGAGTGTCTATTCTTTCCGTTCAATCAAATCGCTCCTAAGTAAAGTCTTTCTTTTAATCTGGGGTCTTCCCTAAAATTTTGGACAGTGATTTAAGGTATTAAAAACGGTGAAAGTTTTGTTTGTCTCCAAACAGTATTGTTTACATTGTAGCCATGTTGATAGCCTAGTTTGTCACGCAATTAGTTTTTCTGCAATATTCTGCTATGCACCGGTTAATTGGGCGTAATAAATTTCGTGAATCATGACGTAACGTTATGTTAACATATTTGAAACTCTGTTTAAACCAGAATGATATTGTTACGCAGTTAGGTATTGGTTGTTAATCGGACTATTGACGAGTCATAATTTGGAACAGAAATTTGCTTTCATTACGGCAGTGTTGAGTGGGATTAGGTCTAATCAAACTAAACACTGCGGGGAGTATGCTAAAATAGTGACCTTACGCTCATATACAATTTGTTTTTGTCTTTTTGAAATATCGCTTGATTCGTTTGTGAAGTATAGACAGATGTATATGACTAGTACACTATTTAGTTTTTACGATTTGCTGTTCAAAAATTCATCATCCTTCTACTAGATCATGAGGTTATATTGCCGAATTAATAAAATGTTGACAAATAGTCTAGAGAGATTAATTGTATTTACCAAGAGCAGCTCTTTTGGCATTTACAGTAAATTAAGCTTTTCAAACTTCATCGTTTGAAAATTTTAACGGTGTAATTGTGAGCTCAGTTTTCGTGATTAGATACTTATTGGGTAGATAGATAGATAAATTTTAACGGTGTAATTGTGAGCTCAGTTTTCGTGATTAGATACTTATTGGATAGATAGATAGATAGATAGATAGTAATAAATATTTGTAGTTTTGATAATGGAACATTTTTTAAACTTGAATTTTTTGATGAAAGTATATAATCTGCGATTATATCTATTTGTTTATTTCTATTTTTATTATGGCTTGCTCTTAATGGAACTGGAAACCACGTTAATTTGGTTTCAGGTGCCA